GGAAGGAAGGAAGGAAGGAAGGAAGGAAGGAAGGAAGGAAGGAAGGAAGGAAAAGGGAGAACTGATGGACTGCAAAGAAAAGTAGCAGGCCTCACTATCATTTTTATTTCCAAAAATATCTCTGGACATTCTTAGAAAACAAATTATATAAATAAAATAATTCTTAGAAAATGAACAGTGGTGGCTGTAGATTAGTATGATGTTTGGAAACATCCCAGCCTGCCCCCCTCCCACCCCCGCCCATCAAAGGCAAACAGGGGTATTACAGAGAATTGTGCTAAAGCAAGGAAAGAGAATCCCTGAATTTGTAGAAGTTGAGCTGTGATATTGCGGTTTGAACCTCCTCTTGAATTACGGTCGAATCATTCAGAAGATGGATGAAAACTATCCTCATTGTCCAGCTGCACAATGTCCATGGTAGGCCAAGTCTTTCAGTTCTTGCTGGCTGCAGAGTTTTTTCTGTGTTTAAAGTTCACAGATAAAGCTGTGTTCTTCCAACCGTATCATCTGCCTTTGGTGGGAGCAATGCAAGAAAGTAGAACGTTTAAGATTTTGTCCAATGTCATCGTCTCCAATTTCTCTTCCTCCTCCAAACCTAGCTGGTTTCTATCCCAAGGTTGGGACCAGTCTGTACTTATGTCAATATGTTCTTTTGGGAGTCAAAACACATCCAGATATGATACCAGCATTTTCAGGCAGATTCTGCATTAACTTGTTAATCAGAATTCTGTTTTGGTTTTAACATGGCCAATGTTACTTAAAGTTATTTTAAGAGACAAGTTAGTCTGTAAAGAAAAAATATATTGAGAAATCACAAGTATAAAATTACAACATTTAATTTTACAACGTTTGTACATATGAAAACTAAATATACAAATCTAAAACAAACATTAGAATATAGTAGCAGATTTTGGAATAAAAAATATTGTCTGAAAAGAAATTATAGTCATAAACAATTGTTTCATTCTTATCTAATAACAATGACGTCCTATTCAAGTCTACTTAAAAATAAGCCCAGGTAAGTTTAAAACAGCTTATGTCCAAATTTGTTCAGGAAGTCTCATATTTATGAAAATCATTACCTAGCTTCAGGTATCACATTAAGAACTCAGCCTATTGTCTCATTGCCAACAAACCATGGCTTCATACAATTTGTGAGTTAAGTCTCAGAACAAAACATATTTGTTAAAATGATATTTTCAACATACTGGACAACAATAAATATAACTAATTTTCTATAACTTACCTGAGATGGGGTTATCTACACTGTCATCATCACTAATCCATTTTCCTAATTACACCTAAAAATAATATCCATAAATGTTTCTAAACCTGCATCTGAGTCTTCTTACCAATTTGAACCCAACATGTCATGAACTTGAACAGACATATATATATATATTTTTTTTAAGTCGTCTTCCTAACTGTGTGCCTTCCAGATGTGTTGGGATCACAATGCCTACAATTTCTGGCAGTAGGGATTCTGGTAGTTGTGGGTTCAGTTCATCTGGAAGATACCAGGTTGGGAAAGGTTGTTTTAAAAGTATATGGCTATCATTGATTTATACCATCAGCTCAGTTTTAGCTGGTCAGAGATTTGTCAAATAATGTATTCTTTAAGATTATGCATGGACACAATGAGAGCCAGTTTGGGGTAGTGGTTAAGGCATCAGGCTAGAAACCCAGAGACCATGAGTTCTATTATCGCCTTAGGCACAAATGCACTTGGGTGGCCTTGGGCCAGTCCCTCCCTCTCAGCCCCAGGAAGGAGGCAATGGCAAATCACTTCCAAAAAAACTTGTGAATAAAACTGCAGGGACTTGTCTAGGCAGTCACCAGGAGTCAAATAAACTGACCTGAAGGCACCCCCCCCAAAATGGACACAAACAATGTGCATGTACTTGAGTTAGGTAGTGAGCAACATCAATGCAGCTGTAATTCTAAGGAGAACTTAGGCTTTCCTTCTTAGCCTTAGGTTCTCAAGCAGTCTCTGGAAAGGGCAAGTCTTTCAGCAAATTTTGATAAATGTTTAGCTCATGTTCTGCCCAGATTTGTGAAAAGCAGCAAGTGCACTAGTACAGGCACCCTCTGAAAAGTAGAGAGCATGATGTTCAAAGAATCCATGAATTGCAAGGTCAGATGCTGGAAGAAAGAGAAATTAGGCAAAAAGTGAAGCTACTATCAATCCAAACCATAGTCAATTGTACCACCAAACTTATAGCCATAACATCAGCATTCCAGCATCTTTTTGTTGAAGAACTGAACAGAATGGAGGATAAAGGCAGATTGCAACCTCCGTAGAAGGCCACTATTTTCCAGTGTTTGCAAGCTTACCAGAAGTGCTTCCTCCTTCATAAACAGCAGTGCTTTCTATGAATCCAGTAGGTTAATTTTTTTAATTTAAAATGTTTTCTTTGCTGGATTAGCATGGCACTATTTTATCATCCATTTCTAAAGAGAGTAGAGTGAAGAGGTAGAGTGCCTTTTAAAATCCAATAATTAAATTCTCCTTGTATCCTTCAGTCCTTTCTTTCAGCTGCACAATTGACAACTTACTGGTAAGTACATATTGAGCCATGCTCTCCTGTTGCTTTCCAGTTGGTTTCATACCTATGTTACTGATTTATTAACATTTGGTTAAGGGCAAAGTCTTCACAGTGACTTCATTAAAACATAAAACAACAGGAGGTTAATATCACTGTAAAATAAGTTCCTCAAAAATAAGCACTAAGTCAGTTCAGATTATAATTTGGCACAATAGGAACAAAGAGAATTTTTCCTATTCCTGCAATCAGGAGCAGGAATAAATCCATTTGGTTTTAAATTGGCAAATTTCTAATAGTTGTCAACTGCAAACTAGGGACCATGGCTCAATATTAGCCTGGTTTGCACGTCACACCAATTCCTGAAGAGTTTTCTGGACCATTTTTTCTGGGTTATTTTCTCAGTGGCTTTTAATACTCTCTGCTAAGCATTGGCTGTAGAGAGTTAGTTTGGTGTAGTGATTAAGGCACGAGGCTAGAAACTGGGAGACCATGAGTTCTAGTCCTGCCTTGGGCACAAAGTCTGCTGGGTGACCTTGGGTCAATCCCTCTCTCTCAGCCCCAGGAAGGAGGCAAAGGCAAATGGTTTCCAAAAACACCTTGCCAAGAAAACTGCAAGGACTCATCCAGGCAGTCACCAGGAGTCAACACTGACTCAAAGGCACACACACCAAATAGTGTTGGGTAGAGCTGGAGAAGGGCCAAAGTTGAAAGGTGAGAATCAATGGTGCTCATGGCAGATAGAACATTTATGCAAACACTGAGCAGATATTTGACTCTCAAGGCAGGAAAAGAATACTGTAGACAAAAATCTATTGGCTTGAAGAAGCAGGAGGAAAAGATGGACAATTCAAACTTTGGAGGAGGCAGATTTTTTTCTCTCACTTTGATTTCTGTGTTCTGTAGGGTGGTTTTCTGCATATATGTGACTTCTAGTCTACAAAAAAGCAACTAGCTATGCCATGCCTGTGAACTTTCTGCTGCAAACAAGTTCCTGAAAATGAGATTAAGTATCTGGAGAGCTGAGGTTTATTGCCTCAATAAATCCTCTGAGAATCGGAGGAACAAAGATGCAGTATTTCCACTTCTAACTGGAAGGCCAATTCCTGAACAGGATGGTAATACTCTACTGGCCCAGAGGTTTATCTCCATCCTGTTGACCCATACCACCTTTTAAACATGCCTGGGAAATTCCTGAAAGATTTGGTGAGGTGCTTCATCCCACATCCTTCATTTCCATTCAATTCAGTTGAGTCAGTGGAAGTCCTGAACTAGTGCCTGGAACCAGTAATGGGTGGGAAGCAGACCAATAAACAATTTCTATTCCCAACAAAATGGAGATTCTGTAGGTAGGTGGATTTTGTCTCCTCAGAGGGACAATATTCATCCTATTCTGAGCAGGACTGCCTTCCTCCCTAAACAAATAGTTTGTGTTCACACAATGCAATTAAATCACTTAAAAATGTAGTAGCTGCATTTGAACAACATGCTGATTTTGACTGAACACAGCTACATGGCAATGCCAAACTCAGTTTTGTTCTAGAGCAGTGTTGTCCAAACTTGGCCACTTTAAGATGAGTGGAATTTAACTTCCAGAATTCCCCAACAAGCCAATCCTGATGTGGTAT